CCACTTCATGGTATGACTACAACCAGGTGCCAATTTCAAACATCTGTCCTTTGCCAGGATGGCAGTAAATAGAAGCAAAAGAGAAGATATCTTTATCAACATAAAGACAGTGGGAATTTTGGTACAGCATGTCAATACCAGAGAATACTACAAATGGAGGTTCCAAATTACCTGAAATTCATAATTAGTGTCTCATTTCCCATTTCAAAGTGACTCATGGAAGAGCCTAGGAGGGCGATCAACAGGCAGTAATGTCAGAGCAGTTTTCCTTATGTCCTGTTCTCATTCACAACTACAAAACCATTTCAATAACCTTGTTTGCCTCTGCTAAAAGACTAGATGTACTGAAAATTGTACATGGTTTCAATTATTAGTGAGATGCATGCAGATTTTTAGCTGACTGTTTGTTAAGCTTTTGGCTGGGTGAAAGAACATTTAAGGTTATTTTCATACCTTATACCAATAAATATTGTTAAATACCACATCACATAGGATATTTATTGGTTATCTAAATGTTTACTAGCTTATCAAAACCTTTAATAACTTAGACAATATGCTCTTTTAGGTGCTTTTTAAATATCTTTTGTGTTTAGGTGCCTACACAAGCTTCTTCAAAACTTGTTTTTGCTTGTAATCTGCTTCTGATCTATTTTAGGAATGTTCTACCATGGAAGAGGCACCCATCAAGGTCTCAAGACCCTTGTGGTATAATTCCCTGGGAGGCATCCCAGCTCGATGCAAGGCCTGTTGAAACCAAGGGAAGCTTACTGTTGACCTTCACATGGCTTTGGGTCAGACCATCAAAAACACTGATTAAAATATTTCTGTACTTATCAGCTTTCCTCTGACCTTTAGTTTCATATATTATTATTTTCACATGGTATTACTAAGAAATGTTTAGCCTCTCAAACCATGAAAGGAAGAATCACAATTTTTAGTACAATAAGAGAAAGTATTTTACTTAAAAGCATCCATTCTCATGAATTTACAGAGATTAGTTAATTTTATCACTACCATTTAGTAGGTATAATAACATAAAATGATCTCTAATCCTCTGCAGGGAAAAAGCCTACAGACAGAGTAATTTTTCCCCACTGTCAGTTTTATTATGACATGCTGCATTGCAGTCTACATACCATGTCCGACAGTTTTAACCATGCAGCTGCTGAGAGCCCAGGTGCAGGTTCTCAGGCCTGTTTAGGTGCCTAAATCCTACTGAAATCCTTAAAATAATTTAGTCACCATAATGTTCAGTTTTGGCATGCCTAAATCTTAAGGGTTTGGACACCAGAGAGGCCCAAAGTCTGAAGTTTAAGCAGTCTAATTCTTTATAGGATGCTCTATGATAGTTAGATCCCAGAAATAAATTTGCAAATACCAGCATGTCAGTCAAAGATCATGAAATGTAGCCAACAGAAAACACAAAGAGAAGAAAACAGAAATCCAAAAAGTTATAAAACTGGAAATCAGAAATGCTCCTCACAGGAGAACTGAAGAGAGGTGGTTTGATCTTAGAGGTGCAGCTGATATGATTCTACACCAGATCTCACATAGCCTGATTCTCCAGCTTCACAAGAGAGGGGTGATAGCAGAGGAGTCAGAAGGAGCAGCTGGTTCAGCTTTCCCTGTGAGAACAGGCTCTGCATGTGGGGTACCCTGCTGTGGGGGGCAACCAGCTGTGGTTTGGGAGGTTATCACTGTACCATCCTGCAGGTGGTCACTGGCACACTGAAGATCTCAGCTACTTTATCCTCACAAAATCATCTGGCCTGCCAATACTGTTGAGGGGAGAGGCTGAAATTTGATAGATACTTCTGAAATATCTGAAAGCCCAGTTTCGTTGTGCTGGCCTGTGTTTTGTTGTTTGCCTTCCTGGGCTGTAATAATTAAGACTTACAACCCTCAGTGTAACCAGAATTTTGAGGTCTTCCTCTGAACGCAGAATAGCAGGAGAGCACTTGAAAAATTGCGTCTTTGGGGCAAAAAACCCCGCCTCTTTCTCTCAATGGAAGGAAGCAATATGACAGAGCTGGTTTGTGCTTTGATAAAAAGCTATTGTACCTCTGCCTAAAGAGGAAATGTGGCCCAGATCCAAATGAGGGCTTACGTGCCTGGCTTTACACTGAAGTGGGACACAGGGCCCTCTGACTAAAACTGCCGTCTCCAACAGCATCGGCCCAAGTTCTATTTACATCAAAACCAGCTAAACCCCACCGTACCTAAAGTGGTCGTCAGGAGGTGCTCTCCCCCCAGGGAGTTAACTTCTAATTTAGTTGTCCCACTTCAATGGATATATTGGGTGGGAGAAATCTGGGCCTGTGTACTTGGACCCATGTTTGGATACCAAGGAATATCATAACATTTATATAAGATGCATTAATGTATTACAGACAGTTGCTAATTTAACACATTTGCAGAAGAGTTTGAAATTTGATTTTATAAAACACTGGTTCTCTTTCCCATTGTTTAGTTGCTACGAGCAGTAAGATGTGACCTTAATGAAGACAGCAAGAAGAGTCAAAACTAACATTTAATCCAATGCCGCTCAGAAAACATTACGAGACATTTTGTTTCCTATTAGCATGTACTTCAGCCCTACAGCACAAGCAGAATGTCAAATGAATCATTTTTCCACCTCTCCCTTGAAAAATCCACCACAATCAGCACTTTGATTTTAATAAACTGCATTTTTCTGAGACAAAGCTGTTCCATAAAAAAAAATTTCAGCCAGAATATCTCTAGTTTTCTTCACTATAAAAATACGCTTTAGAAAATTTTTAGTGGATCTTCTTAATTTATTTTTTAAAGAAACAGCCTGAATTTCATTTATATTTTTTTCTTCTAAAGAAGGATCATTCTAAACTCAATTTATTTCTTATTGATTGGCTGTGGTTTGGTCACAGTCTCCCCTAACTTAAATGGAATTTAAAATACTTCTTTCTATAAAGGAGTTCTGTCAAAAAATTAATGAAAGTTTTTCTCACTTGCCTTCAACTATTAACATAGTGTTTGTTCACCTTACAATCGTTTGTTTAACATAGTTATTATAGCAATAACTCACTGAGGTTAGATATGAGGATAATAGCATATGTTTGAAAATTAAAAGCTGCTAAGAGCTGCAAAATCACAAAGGTCTAGGTCTGATGGGATCTTTAAGGTTCCGGGACAAAAGCAATAATGGAGGCCAGTGGGAGTTGGATGGTATGTTTCACGTTTCCTGGGCCAAATAGAAAAAAGCAGGGAACTCAGCACAGGTCTCATAGATCCCTTATTTGTCTTATGGCTATTTGTCTATTCTTTTTCTAGCTACAGAGATTCTAATATAAAGGCACAATTATTTCACATATCTATTATATGTGTGCATATTTGCATGTATATTATTAATAACAAAATGGTTTCTAATTGTTTCGTTGAAGTAAATTCTCTTTCAAGAATACTTAACCCCTGGGAAGCTGGGAAGCTGAGAAGCTGGAGGTTGGCAGGGTGCCCTGGAGACATGCCGGGTGTGCTTTCTGCTCATGGTCACCTCTAGAAGAGCATTTTTCTCCCTGCTGACTGGAAGGAGAGCTCTGGGAGCCTTTCCACCCCCTCCAGAGGACAGATCTTACAACGACAGTTGGGACATTCTTGTCGAAGATGATAAACTTGCTTGACCCTTGTTGATTGCATCTCTGTAATAGCCATGGGGTGCTTTCATTAGTTTTAAATTTAAAAGTCACTGGAGTATTGTCATAGATTCAGGATGGAAGTAGACCTGGCTGAGATGGAGTTCCTACTCCCAGTGCTACTTATTAATTTTATTTTAAATAGTCATGGCATAAAAACCCCACAGGGACACCCTTTGTTGTTGGATTAGAGTATATGCGTTCCTTTCTCGGTAAATATACTGATCAACAGAGTGCGGCTTGTCCTTTTTTTTCCTGATCTCCTGAATCTTTCATTCCTTCCTACCTAGTGGAGGGCTCAAAGCATGAACACCTCCATCATGCAGAACATGAAAGAGGAAAACATGGACTTGAATTCACTCACAGGGAAAAGAAACTAGAAACCTCCCCCCTATCTTCCATTTTCTGGGAGGATGCTCTATCCAGTATGCCATCCAGTAAGAGGTAGATATGTGTAGATATGTCCTCTCTTTACAAAGGGAAAAAGTGAACCTTGCACTATTTTTTCCAGTAGTTGCAAAGGGCTTTAGCAACTTGCACTCCGCAGAAAACACCACAGCCTGTAGATCTACAAAGAAGCCATGATGTATGCTAGAAACGCAGGTCACGACAGCGTGGCTGTGTGGCAAGAGTGTGAGGGTCCAGAGCTGATGCTCCAGGGCCTTGCCTTTGTCACTTGACCCACTTGGAAGGAAGTTCACCCTCCTATTCACATTCACTGTGACAGAAACCACAGCCGAATATTTACAAAAATTGGCTGAAGTAATTGACTTTACTGAGGACAACAGAACACTTATTTGCAGCCATTCATTCTCATGCTGGCTAGGTTTTCTATGCTATCTGCCAGGAGAAAAGCAGCCCGGAACACCCATTTCACACAGCTTTAAGTACAAAGTCTTTTCTCATGACAAAGTTTGATATGTGGCTGTCTGAATGCTCCAGGACATGATGGAGCCTCAGAAATCGATCTTTGATTTTAATGTGGCTAGGTCTGATATCACGTAATACAAAGCCTCTCCATCTGACCTCAACAGCCTGCTTCATTTTACTTACCCACATACAGGCACAGAGTTCCCACAACCAGACAAATTGCTGGGCACCACTGGTATACCTAATCTGGTCTGACTGATGAGCTAATCAGGCTCTAGCTGATTTCCTGGTGTTTTATCCAGCTGGAATAGATAATATTGAGGAACTGTCTTCCAGAATGCCTGGTATTAACCATTGGCTTCCTTCCCTACCACTGGTTGCCTGTGAGCCTCACAAGACCTTGCTGAGCCAGGAAGAATTGACCATGTTCCATGGTCATCCTGACTGGGGGACAGCAAAGACTTGTTAAGCAGTCAGCTCTGCTGTTACCGAGTACTCGGAACTGGTGCAGTCAGACAGTGTCTATTAATAGGATAAAATCAGGATCTTAAGCATTGCATTTAAATCAGACACAGGCTTACCTCTGAAGAAGTTAAATTCATATCTTGCCAAATAATAATGCCTGCAGCTCCCAGGACACTCTGTCTGATAGTGTTAATAAGATCTTGCTACAGTGAAAAGAGTAAAGACATCACTGTCAGGCTAATTCAGCATTTCACAGCCTTTCTAAAGTAAACCAATGGTTTCTTATGTGGCTGTCCCTCGGATTACATTTTCTTTTCATTCTGGTCCCCATGAACTATATTTTATTGTGGCTAAAGATTTGCTATCTAGAGTACAAAGATCATTAAACATAAGTCGCAAACTTAGGTACTGCCTGAGATATTGGTAATAAGCAAGTGAACAAACACTGGGATACAATTTACTTTGATGCAAAATTTAATTGTAATTATTTGATATCTCATCGGTTATTAGAAGCAACTAAAATCTTTTCATTAAAGCGGGATTTTTAACAGTTCCCCAAAGCATTCCTTCAGTTCTCTTTTTGCTGATAAGGGGAAGAGGAGAGCCATTCTGCTATGTCAATCGTCTGTTTTCCCTCCATCCCTCTCTGATTTGAGAGCTGCGATTCCAAAGACATGCATTGTTCTTGCTGCTTTCCCTAGGAGCTCCCTCTGCTCTTATAAAAACCTTAGAAAAAGGGAGAATGCTGGCATTGTGCAGCCTTAAATGGAAGGGAAAAAGCAACACTTAGTGAATCTTAAGAATTTCAGTTTCGTTTTTTTGTGCTCTTTCTATGTTTGTTTCAGAGAGATGTCTTTCATTGTACCTTTTCCTCATATCACAGCCTTTATGGGGAGCATATTTGGTGCTTGGATGTTTATCCTTAATTTGAACAGTGATTAAGGATCAGCAAAAAGTTAATTACTATGCCACAAACACTGAAGATGAAAGAGAATTGATATGCAAGTGACTCCCTAGACATCCTCATCGATTTAAGGGAGATTGAGGGCCACAGCACATCAAGACTCAAAGTAGAAAAACTCCACAGGACTTGGTTGCCTAAGAGGGAAAAGAGGCAGAAACTGGGTATAAAATGGCAAAGGGGATGCACACCAGCCTGCAGCAGTTATTGATGTCCATCTGTCCTCTTCTTGCAAAGCTAAGGAAGGGCAAGCTGGATAGAAGCACCACAGCAGGTGCCGACACCTTGTTTAATGCCTAAGAATAGGCATTTTCCTTCAAGCCGGAGACAAGCGCAGCCCCTTCTTGGGAAGTGTGGTGGGTGATGGCAGTGCTAGGGGAGTTGTGGGACCTAATAGGAGAGGGAGCTGATGCTCCTTCCCAGACAAGGTGCCAGCTTCAGACTCTGTACCTGGGCTGAAAGACTGAATGTAGCCTTTAAAAAGTGAATACAGCTCACTTGCTAGACTCTGAAACACAGAATTTGAGACCTGCTGGTAGTACAGTCACCGTCTACAGGGGAGAACTAAGCCACGGCTGTGACAGAGAGGTTATGCTGCTTTTTCACAGGAAACCTATTGTCTTCATCCAGTTTCTGGGAGGATGTCCAGAATCACATAAAGAAGGACTAGGGTAGGGCACTTATCTTGAAAATACCTGTATGTGTGTTCAGCTGATGTGAGCAGTACTCCCTGGTGCTAGTGCACTGTTTGCCTGTTCCAAGGTAGGTATGGGACTAAATTAAATGTTTTTGAGATGGAGGCATGCAGAAAGACTGCTGGCTTCAATCTCCCATTCTGATGTAACACTGAGCAAGTTGCTAACATCTCTGCCTCAGTTTCCCTTCCATAAAAGGGGCACCTCTCTGGGGATTAGTTAGTGATTGCATACCTGAGCAGAAGAAAGTACATCAGGGAGGATTAATGTATTAACCGCTTCCTACGTACTACAGCAAATTGCTGAAATCTTTTTAATCTACTCAAATGCATGTTTGAGTATAGCACAGTGATGAACTAAAATAAAAAAACAGGTATTTGAGACTGCATTTTTCTTCAGAACATTGAGCTCTTTAAAGCATGTGGGCAATTAACATGAACCAGCAGAGCTGGCCCAAGTAGGAGATTTTCCATCCTGATCCACCATCTGTAAGAACGCTTAAAGCATAAATGCAGCCCACATTGTTCCAGCAAAAGCTTACCATAGAGAGAAATAATAAAGGTTCATCTCTATAACCTAGTCGCGTGTACACAAATACGGGCAAAGGATAATCTTGGGATGTCATGGAGGAAATCCTTATGGATTCATTCACCCTAAACTGAGAAAAGTGCAAAATGTTTTAACTGTTTCCCGGGGGTTTCTTAATGCCAATGGAAGCATGCAGGACTGCACTGCTATCCCAGAGCCAGGAAAGTTCACTGTTCCTCGAAACTTCACTCTTTGGGCAGGAACCAGTGTAGTTCTGATCATGGAAATTGTAATTGTGACAGTCACACCAAAGTATCTCCAAAGGCCCTTTGGTCTGCTTTTCATTCCTAATGCAATTGTTTCCTTTGTAAAAGCTTTTGCACTTTCTTCAAAGGAAAGTCTGGCTAAATGTTCAACATCATTTGCTGAAATATTCCCTTACATTTTGGTTATGAGTTTCCTGGACTTTCTTCTGTAGACATCTTTTGCATCCCAGTTGCAGGCCCACTGAGGCTTCTGGTACTCCCAGTCTATGACAGCTAATCCACTGAAGTCCTTAGCTGGGGTGTAATAGTGAATGTCTTTTTCCAGAAGAGTTTGCAAGCTGAAGTTCTGGGGCAGGCCACCATTAACAGGGGCTTCCTGTGATCAGTACCAAGGATAATAGCTGAGCCTATTAAAATAAAATACAGTCACATTCTGCCCTCTTGCTTTAGCTAATGGGCTTCTAATTATATGGAACATTTCCAAGTTCAGTACGATGTCATACCTCAGGGAGCACAGGTCTGTCAGTTGTTCCAGGCAGCTATGGAAGGCTTCCTTTCCCAATCCGGTGGTCAGGCTGGTTTCATAGCAAGGGAAGTCCAGATGAGTGCTATGCACAGCCATGCCATGGGCTGAAAGGTGAATGATGCATTACATCATCCCACTTTCAGGCAGTATTTTCATGACTTAAGAGGCAACAATAGGCGGATCTCCCAGTTTGTCTGTAGAACACAACAGAAGAGGCATTAGTACTTATTCCATACATAGCTGTATGAATCGGTGTCAGCCACTTCTAAGGTATCTACCATGCTAACACTGAAGAAACAAAGTGAGCACAATCTAACCCAAAGAAAGGGGCAGATTCCCAACTGAAGTAAATCAGTGGAAGTCTGTGGAAGTCAGCGTAACCACAGGTGCTTGTCTCATCAATCCAGGTTGTACTGAAATCACTGAGGATGTTGCCGTCACTTCAGTGGGCCCCAGCGTGTCTCAGTGGCCATAGCTGTTGCAGTTGGAAAGGTTGATGAAGAAATGGTGTCCTTATCCTTCAAGCTTTCTCAACAATAACAAAGATAACTACAAAATCAAACCTTGGTTTTTACCACCATCTTCACAGCTTCATGAACATCCCTGACCTGTCTAGTACAGTGCCAGCCAGAGATACTCCAAATAGCTCTAAACAAGCACATGTATTTCATTGTCATTTTGCAGTACCATAAAGGGATGCAAGTTCAAACCCCTGACAGCAATAAAGCAGATCCATGAAAGCTTGCTCTGAGCTATTTATTAGCCTGACTTCACTATCACATGGAGCTAGTGCCTTTCAGACCAGCTCTGATAGCTCTGCACAGCACTGCATTGTGCAATGCGGACTTTGATGCTAAGGCCTGTGGCCACTGCTACGAGCAGAATCATTAGTCACAAGGTCCCTGCTGATTACGTGTGTATTAAGCAGAAAAGAAGCCAGACATACAGCAAAACCTACATACTTATAGTATAACTAAGAGAGAGAGAGAGAGTCTTATCTGTCCTCCAACTCCAGGCTCTCTCCTGCATTCAAAACCCTGGGGAAATCCCGTACAGCTTTACAATCAGCCATCAGGGATGATCATGGATTTATATTTAAGTCCTACTTGTAGTTTTTCTTCCTCAGTCCTTGCCTGTTTATGTCTCCTGGGATTGTGACCTGCTGGAGGTGAGGATCATGGGTTTCATATGGGCAGCCAGATTGTAACATATATTAATGGGAATAGCGCATCTATGTTATCCGTCCTTTATCTCAAAACGGAAAAACAATCAGTCATAGCCATGTACCTGGGGTGCTTTTCTGGACCTCCCCACTCCTCCATTTCTTTGCTATTTCAGGGTAGGACTAGCATGACCTAATTTCAGTTACCTGCAGCAGAAATATCAGCATCCAAGGTAGCCAACCTAGGTACTTTTAGTAAGCCATGGATGCTTTTAGGATACAGTCATCTGACAGTTGGAGACACCAGAGCGCTCTAAAGTGTCCAAGATGTGCCTGTTCCTCCTGCTGACCAGGCAGGCAGTCCACAGGACCAACACAGTACAGTGTAGACACTGCAGAACTCAGTGTTTCCTCAGATAAGTCTCACAATACTTTGTGCTTAGTGAAGAGGAGACCCAGGTTTTCAAAACCACTATCCACATATCCACAAGTGCCATATGGGCATTAATGGGCCTTTTGGAAAATGGTGTTAATGAAAATCAGCCCGATTTGCTAAGTATCTCTCAGAAAGCGTATACCATACCAAGAAATCAAACTCAGCAAAGCCACTCAGGGCTTGTCAGCATTAGAAGCCAAACTGAATTTTCTCACTAGAAGGCTGTACAGCCGAAGCTGGAAGATGGTGGGCTGGCTCTTGTGAGAAGACAACCAAACAAAGGAACAAAGGACCGGCTTTAGAGAGTCAGGCTTGCTGCCCCTTCTCCCCCAGTGGGATGGAGAGAAAGGATGGGGGGGGGTCTTGCCAGCCCAGCAGTTCTGCCCCTTACTCCAGCCTCTGCCTGGGATCAGCGTGTGCTTCTGGCTTTCCAGGAGGGCTGCAGGGAGGCTGCAGCAGTGGTGCCCAGCAGTTTGCTCTCCTTTGCCTACAACCAACTGGGAAATGCAGAGACCTTGCTGTGCCAGTGCATGATCGCTGAGTGCTGCTCTCGCAGTTCAGAGAGAATCAGAGCTGTAAGAAAATCCTGCCAGAGGGCAGCAAATCCCTACGATTATTTTTTTTAAATCACAGCATGTGATACTAAATTGCAGCATGTTGAGTTCCCCCTGTGAGAGCTGTACCACCATCCTGGCTCTCTGCTCCCACACCTGTCACAGTCTAGATGGGGAAGCGTCACTAGCTGGACTGGGCACATCCCTTGGGTGTTTTACCCCAGGTTTCAGGGAGCACTTCCCACGCAGGACCCGCGTCACTTGGCACAACGCACCAGCAGCATACACGACGGCTGCCTGTGCCCTGGGGCACCTCGTGGCATCGCCCCCACAAACCCTGGGGCAGGCAGGCCCAGTGCTGCCCAGCCAGGCTGCGCCAAAACCCATGGGGCTCGCTGGTCGCTGCTCTTGCTGGGGTCTGCCCACTGGTGGGAAGTGCCGTGGGTCTGCACATCCCTCCTCGGGCAGGGCTGGGGTGTAATTAGCCCTACGCTTTACCGTGTGCTGGATATACTGATTTGCTGTCCCATGGCCCTCAGAGCTGACACATGGAAAAGGCAGTATCAGCAAGCTGAAAATAATAATGAATAATAATGAATAATGAATAACGAATGATGATAATGGTGATGATGATGATGGTAGCAGTAATAATAATAATAATAATAATAATAATAATAATAATAATAATAATAATAATAATAATAATATAGGTTATTGAAGACTGCAGGGAAGTGGCAGCCCACCCTGCCCCTCTGAGAAAAGCTTGTCATGGAGGACAACACAGAAAGATATTTGTAGTTGCTCTATTATTAAGGAGAAAACGGTTACCATTTTATATTATCTGTGAGGGCGAATCACTGAGGTTTACTGACTTCTGATTTTATTCCATTTGATGCATTTAGCCATCACACAAGCACACACATGCTCCAGCTGGGAGCAGGCTCTGAAGTCACTTGTTTGCAGCATGCAGGAAGGATTTCCTGCACCCAAGCTCTGCTCAATATTTTTCCCTTTACTCAGGCTTTTCAAATTTGCTTCTTGTGCAGGATTGCGCCATGCTAAAAAATTCTCTGCCTCTTTTTGCTAGGTATTTTTTTCATTTGTATCTGTCATAGCTGGCAAAAAACAGAATTAATGTATCCAGTTATACCCCTTCTGCTGATTATATTTTTCTCTGTAAACCAAGGCAACACGGAGGCAGCCCATCTTGGTGTCCAGCTGACAGTGAAAACACACAGTGGGCAGCAATTCCCAGCAGAAAGGAAGTAGAAACTGTATGTCTTTATTAGACAGCAAACAGCTCTAGCGAAGACTAAGCAAAATCAGCTTAAAACAGGCAGTTCTGAATGGAATAGACATAGTGAGTACTTGAACCAAATCACAGGATACTGCTGAAAAAAAAATAGCTGGCTAAATGATAAGAAAAAGACTAAGCATTCATCAGGTGATATAAACCCCGTATCCCTCTTCCCCAATTAATCTAGAGCTGAGGAATGTACTTTAAAGCTTCGGCATTTATCTTGTAACAAAAATCCTCCTCCAGTGACGTTACACTATACATATCAAGGGATTAGAAAAATTACAAATGATGAATAAAGACAATGATCTTTTCTCCTTTCTGGTTAACATTGTTACAACAATATGACATTGATGCAACACAACCTTGATAGGCTTGAAACAAGCTGTCTCAACAGACAAGCTGGTCGCCAAATACCCTTATCAAAGACGTGCATGGGTTTTGAAACAAGAATTTTCACACCCACAGAGATCCAATAAAATCCTAGGATTTTTACAGAATAATCCTTTTGTTGACTTTTTATCAGCAAAGCAAAAGCTGATACACTCAGGAGTCTGATGAGCTGCAACAAGTTTTGTCCAGTTGAAGTCATGCTGTCAGCAGTGAATCTTGCTCTCTGTGCCAGATCTGGATTTGGAAGCAATGTGCTCCGAGGCTGGTGTCAGAGGAGATGACCCTGAGAGCTGCAGAGCTTGCAGCAGCCTCAGGGAGGACAGCACATGAGGATGCATTGCTGCTGTCCTCTACCTTTCCTCATATGGACGGGGGCTTATTCGACCAGGGCAGTTTGCCTCCATGACATTTTGCAAAGTACCTCTGTTATGTTAGTCAATGCAGGAGACTGAATATGAAGCATGATGAATAATAAAAATGGAGCAGGACCTCACCTCACAATTATCTGACTGACCCAGTGACACTGGTGGCTTATTATAGCTGACATTCAAACTCCTTTAGTACAGTACTTCACTGATCCTGATGAAGGTGCTAGGAATCCTGAGCAGCATGAACTGCCAAGGGACATTCTATGGTGTTTCAAATTTAGGGCAGGGCACCCTCAAAATGCTACAAATTAAAGTATGAATCTGTTGCAGCAGGGCTATTTCCCATAGCAACTGTAAGGATTAAGCTGAATAAAGCATCAAAAGCTATAATTCAGCATTCTAACACACATATGGCAGGTTGGTAGGCAGGTACTGATAGCAATTTTGTAGTAAAATTTAACTTATGATGATGAAAGACTGGAACAGTTGGACAGAGAAAAGCAGATTTTAGCAGACGAGCTACAAGTCTGTGTGGGGCTCATCTGGCCAGCCATCTGGCCTCTATCATCTCAGTTCCTTTTGCCACCATAGTGGACTTTTCTTATTGTGTATGTGAGACCACTTGCGTTCTGGTGGCCTGCTAGATAGCTGGAGTCCTGAACATGGAAAATGAAGAAAACTGATCAAATGCCCTTACGTAATTTACTTCTCCTCCACTTCATGCTGTACAGATGTCTCTCATCTGTACGCAATTACAGCTGACAGCTGTCCAGCCTGGGAGATTAGACTCATGCTTAGTCCTAGCAAAAAGGCAGATGGTCTGATGGATTGATTTAATGGCCCACTGGAACATCCATAAAATCAGCCTTTCTTCTTAGCTTGTATTTCTGTGATGCTCTTGATGCCAGTGACTGGGTCATTTTCTGGCATACTCTGAAAAAATCACAAAGCTTCTTTAGCCTATGTCCAGCCTGGCAAGGTTCTCAGTGCTCCATACCACAACTTTCCCCCTGTTTTAAGCCCAAAGGTTTTCCAGTACCCCCTTTTTCCAAAGAGGCTAGCCTTTGCACT